TGAAATTAAGAACTTGGATGACCTCTGCTAGAAGGAAATGCTTCCGTCTTTGCCAAGAGAAGGGACCTTTTCAGTCTAGGAAAGGAGAGAAGAAAATGTTCCAAGTTATTAGTATGCAGAGCAGGGCTCAGCTGGAATCTTCAAGCAGCTGTGGAATTCAAGCAGGGAGGAGGTGGTCTTTGAACAGCTAACCCGCAGGTTCTAGATATGGAAAGAGTAAGAGAATTGATGGGAATCTGTTGTTTCAATAATCCTCAATTTTTGCTTTAGACCAAAGACACTATTCAAAAGTACAATCATGCCAAGCAGCATTTGTCCCGGACTGAAACCGAGGCAGAGGAGCTGGAGCGAAGGGCTCAGGAAGTGGCCGTTAAACTGGTGAAGGCCGATCAGCAGTTGAGGTGCGCGGGGGGATTCGTGGAATCCCTCGGGGGATTCGTGGAATGGGGCTCAGGAGGAAAGCAGCATTCTTTCAGATACCAAGATACTGCTTTCTGCGAGGAAGAGCTGTAGAAATGTTAATCTGAAAAGTCATAAATGCTTCTTTAGGTTATTGCAGGCGGATACAAGGGATTTAGAGCAGCATAAGATTGAACAAGAAGGTATCTTGAAGGAAATCAACCAAGTGGTGTCCGCAAAAGATTGTGAGTTCCAGTCATTAAACAGGAAGATAGAAATGCTGACTGAAAGGTATTTATTTTTAATTTACCGTAAGGACTTAGTGGATAAGGATATCTTTGTTTATATAATATTAACTTCTGCCTGATGTATTTTTGTGTCTTCTGAACCATGTTTTTCTCCTCACTGTTAGCCTTCAGAAGCTTCAAGGCGATATTCAGGTGGCAGAAGGTAATGAAGAACATCACCTCCAAATCCTTAGGGAAGCAGAAAGCATTCTTCAAAGCAAGAAAACCGAACTGGAAAGGCTGAAAGATCAGGTAAAGCACATTTGATTAACTCAGGACTATCACTCATAATCTTGGCCCTGCTAGCCTTTCTGTGTAATAAATATTATTTGAGAGTTTTCAGTTGAGGACAATTCTTACTGCATTTCAGAATAAAAAAAAAAAAAAGTAACACGTTGTCAGTGTGTTGCAGGAGAGGTTTGGGTTTTGTGTGTGTGTTTATTTTTTTTTGTATAACTACAGAAAAAGAATTCTGATGCTCATTATGTTAAAATTTTACATTGTAGATTAATGCTCAGCAACAAGAGCTGTTGCTTCTGGAGCAACAGCTGAGTCAAAGAAAAGAGGAGCTGAATGTCCTTCAGGATTGTATTTCTCAAAAGAAAGGTGACCTCAAAGAAGCTCTTCGAGATGGGGAGACTGAAGCAAATGAAAAACGACGCCAAATAAGAGTAACTTTTCAGTGAATTTTCAGTTCATTATGCCTTGGTTAAGAATAGAAAAAAAATGGAAGAGAAGGACCAAAAAGATCCCACAAAATTTGTATAAAACCAGTTTTGCTTTCTGCTACCTATCTAAAATCTGCTGAAGAAAGGTGAACAAGCAACTCTTAAAGTCTTTGGTGTTTCTAGGAGCTTGACCAGATGCAGAAATAAGAAATAGAACTCGCTAGTTCAGCGATCCTTGTAGTCCCCTGAGCATTTGAGAACCAAGTTCTGTTAAGTAGAGGTCTCTGATGAAGGCAGTTAGCACTTACTGTTGCTGAGGCAAGCAGCTCTTGCAGCAAACCAGATTGATCAGTTTATATATAAGACCCAACAGAAAGGTCTCTCCTCCATTCTCTATTTACTCTTCGAAAGAGAATCTCTTCGCTTTGTTGGGGAAGAAAACTTTTATTTGATCCAAAGTGCACACTGAAATAAAGAACTGCGATTAACCGCTTTTTCCTTATTCTCTTTCACTTTTAAGGCCTGGCTATGGTTCACTTGAAGAGATGTCATCAAAGTCAGGCTTGTAGATTAAAAATCCTTACAAGCTTACTGCTCTAGGTTGTCAACATAAAAGGCTTTAAGTATTGCATTGTTTTGTTTATTTACACAACTAACTGAAACTATAAATCCTTGAATTAAATTAATCAGAATAAATTCTTAGAACTTAGGTTTAAAGAAAAGACTTACCAGACTGAAAATAATGGCATTTGTTGCAACCCTGACATATTTACACAGGAAATAAGATCTCTTCTGGAAGAGCTGAATGTTGAGAGGAAAGACCTGGACATCCAGATTAGTGAGAAAAGAACACAGCTTTTGTTCATAAAGAAGGATATTGGAAAAGAAGAGGAAAATCTTCAAGGAATACTTGGGCAAATTTCCAAGCATAAGATGGGTATGTTGTGGCTTTGTTATATATAATTTTGTGCAGATCAGCAGAAATGCACTTTAAACTTAGTTACATGTCTTTGCAGCCTACCTTTCCTACTCCTTTTTTAAATTATTGTGATTGATGCAGGGAGTGATCCGTGTAAGTCTCATAGCTTGTGCAGTACTGGCTGGTGGCTCTTGCTTGTGCTGAGGCAGCGTTTTGGTGACTGTAGATTTTCACCCTACAGAGAAACATGAACAGGGCAGCGTCAGGAGCCAGCTGATCAGCGAGGGGCACGCGCTGGGCTTAGCAGGCAGGAGCCAGCTGTGCCACACTCACAGAGGAGCTAACTGGCTGCAAGGGGAAACGGAGGAATCTCCTTCCAGTAATTATGTCCTTTGGAAAATCCTACCTTCTGCAGCTTGCAACATGCTTTGTGCAGAAATATTTAATTTCATGTTTTGGGACAGAATATCTGACTGCCTAGGAAACAGGAAGGGCAGGAGGCACAGGAACCTGCAGTTTCCTAGTAGAACATTAGATACAACACCTGGTGTGTCTGACACAGCAACTGAAAACACAAGGAGTTTTTCCAGGGATAGTTTCTATATTTTTTCCCACTTAGGTTTATTCATTTATTTGATTTATTTGCCACTGGAAAGCATTTCATGTGCTTATAATAATAACTTCGGGTTTCTTTCTTCTTATTAGAACTGAAACATGTTCTGGAAATGCTGCAGCTGGAAAATAATGAACTTGAAGGTTTGAAACTACAGCATGACCAAAAGGTCAATGAATTAGAAAAGATTCAGGTTGCAGTTCTAGAAGTAAGTATTTCTTTTATAGTTAGTACAGTATAGGGTAGGGTAAAAACAACAGGTTAAGCTGTGATAGAACGAGAAACTGAATCCTCATCTTTAGGCCTCCTGCTTGTATCTGCTGCCTGAACCTTTTTTGTAAATGCATTCATATTTCTGGCACTTTTTACTGCATTATAACAAGAGATAGCTGGTTACGTGCAACCTAGATAGTACCCTTTATGATCCTTGTGAATGAAATGTATACTGTTGCATCTAAAGACATTAGTAACTTGTTCTACTTCTTGACCATGTAAATATGTTGTACACACTGTCTCCTTTCATAGGAAAAACTAGAACTGGAGAATATTCAGAGATTATTTCAGTGTCAGCAAGGGGAAGTAGATTGGCAAAAACAACGACTTGAGAAAGACCGTCAAGAAAACGAACACTTGGTTTCTCAAATGCACACTTTGCAAAATAACATTGAATCTTTGAATAAAGAAAAGCAAAAGCTTGAAGAAGGCTGTCGGAGTTTGGAGAACAAGCTGTCACAATCTAGAAGGTGTGTTTTTGGAGGATAAGCAAAGCAGCATTTGTAATACTGTGACTGCAGTAAGAGATATTATGAGATGCAAAATGTTAAATTTGGAATGGGACAACTCTCTTGATCTCATGACTGTGAGATAGCATCTGGTTGAACCCCCAAAATTACTGTAATGTAGCTGTTCTTAAAGCATCCTCATCAAACATTTTCAATAAAATGAGAATATGTGTTCACGTTTTACAGAGATTTGACTGTTACCGAAGAGAGCAGCAGAACAGCATTGTCCAATATAGGGAAGATGGAAATGGATGTAAAAAATCTGCAGCAGGAGATAGATTTCCTAAACAAGCACAAAAAATCACTGAATGAAGACATCACTGTAATACAGCAGCATCTTCAAGGTAAACGTAACTTTTAGTATCTTTGAAAGATATAATACATTTTAAAACAAACTATATTAAAGGTCACAGGGAATATAACTATCCTTCGTGAAGTTAAATGATCTATATGCTCAAATACCTAAAGACAAACAGTATTTAGCAAGTCACGTTGAAACTTTTTCTATTGATATTTATGAAAAGCAAGAATCGTGTTCGCCTAGTTATTTCACCTATGGCTGGTCTTTCACTAAATAAATATTTTTCTAGAAAAAAAGGAAGAATTGGAAGCTTTGAAAGGAGAGTTGAATAACTCCAGACAACAACAACAACTGGTTGAACAGGTTAGTTTTGGTGAAATACATGCTTATTTTAATGTAGTGAGTAGTTTGAAACGTGCAAAAAAGGGAAGATTTTTAGTACGTCAGTTCTGGGCTTTCTGTTTTTAAACATGGAGGGAACTGGCAAACTGTCATGGATAGTCCTATTTGGAGTAATATTTTTTGAGTCAGAGATATCTTTTTCAGTGGTGGTAGAGGAATTCTTGAAGAGAATCCTGGAAGGCCAAAACCACCCCATGCCTGGGTTCAGGGGGAAGCAGAGCCTTCTCTTTGTTTTATCTGTTAGCTTTTCTTTCATCTAGTAGCTCCTACTGTGATAATTACTTAAGTTGCTGGTTACAATAGAAGGTAATATTCAGTATGCAAAAAGAACTGTTAGGGGTCAGAATTGTTGTTTTTACCAGCTAGTTTTGTCACTCAATATATATCTCCTGCTGCAGGATTTGAAAAATAATACAAGGTATCGGGATGAACTGCTTAGAGAGCAGGCAACGCTGAAAGAAGAAATCCTGGAATGTTTAAAGAAACATAAGGATTGCCAAGAGAGGCAGAAAAAGAGGGAGAACCAATTGCAGCAGCTTCAGAAAGAGATTCAAGAGAAAGAGACAGAACGAGCCAGGCAAGAAGCGGTAAGGAGTCTGTGCAACGTTCTCACTTTTCCTTACCCCTGAAAATACAACGTAGGCAAAAAAGTTTGGGGTGTGAGGTTTGCATACAGTAATACACTCATGTTTTAAGAAACGTAAAGCCTCATTTTTTAGAGGAATGCAGTAGAAGAAAAGCTTCAACGTTCAGGAATATTTAAATGAAAATTAGCATGTTGCAACAAAGAACTGTTTGGGGTGTTTTGTTTGGTTGGTTCGCTTCTTGGCAGGGCCATCTTCTACTGAAACGGTACCGAAGGGCTGTAAATCCGCAGCGCTGCCTCGCTGCACTCCAGTGCTGCACCGAGGGACCTGGCACGGCTGAGCGGGGGAAAACGGGGTGGCTTCCAGCCTGTCAGCAGCTGGCTAAAGTTCAGAGACCCCCTTTCCTTCCTTTAGAGTTCTCTCAGAAAATGAATGTGCCCATTTACTTACCTGAAATTATAAAAATAAGTCTTTTTTATTTTTAGATTTCTCCTCCTTTATTTCCCTCTAATGTCTATTGGTGATAGCATTTGTTCTCATTGAGCTGGTACCGGATAAAGCTTGAAATGGCTTTTTTTTTTTTTTTTTTTGGGGTGGGGAGGCAGATTCTTCATCGCCTCAAGCAAGATTCAGAGTATGAAGGAAAAAAAATGCAAGAATGTACTAGCAAACTGCAAGATCAGAAAGTACTGTTAGAAAAGGAGCTAACGGAGCAAGAAGAGAAATTGGAAGAGGCAATAGCAAAAGTAAGACTGGCAGAAGAAAAGCTCAGGAAGCTGGAAAAGGAGGAGTCATGGTGTGCAACAGTTGAAGAAACAGTCAGAAAAAGCAGTAAGATATATCACAGAGATACTATTAACTATGTATGGGTCCTTGATTGTCTAAATTGATTTACTCAAATAACTAAAATTTTATCGTGATGTGATTGTTCCTTTCCACTGTGTCCAATGCCTCTTGAAAATGCTCAACAGAAGACTGAGAGGTTTAGAAAATAGCTAATGTATATTGAAAATACTTAGGAAATATGGCAAGATGCTTATATTTCTACTTACCCTTTTCTAATCTATTGCAGAACATCAGATCTCAGAAAAAGAACTACAATTACAACAAAAAAATAAAGAAAATGCATCTCTCCAAAAAGAACTGGAACTTTCAAAGTCTGAGCTAAAACATCTCCAAGATCAGCTAAAATCAGAGAGGAGGAAAGCGCAAAAGCAAATCTTGAGTCTGAAAGAAGCAATCAAAACGCAGAGGACCCAGCTGGAGAAAGAACTGTGTGTGAGTCCTGCCTCTTATTTACTTGTTCATACACTACTTCATTGCCAGGGGAGCAAAAGTAATGCACTAATTCCAAGATATAATTTAAAGCAACCAAACACGGGCATTTCTAACGTGTGTTGCAGAATACCTGCCTAGTTACTCCTGTTTAATACTGTTGTGTGTTTTAACTTGAAGAAATTGTGTTCTATGTGGTTCTCTGGATTCTTATTCTGAGGCAGGCGCTCACCGTAAAAGGGAATCTCTCTGCAATTTTCCTAGGAAAAAACACACGAAAACAACTGTTTGCAGAGTGACATAGCAGCTGCCGAACAAGTAGCACACAACAACCATGAACGAGCAAAGCGCCTCTTTAAGGAACTTGGCCAGATCCAACGGGACTATGTGGCTCTCCAAACACAGGTATAACTGAAAAGCTGAACTGAGGTACATCTGGGCAGGTTTACACTGTGCTAGTTTTGAATATCCTTCAGTTGGTTGTATCACCATTGGCAGAAATACCCCTATTTCCAATTTCATGCAGTTTTCCAAATCTGGAAGTTAGGGTTTGTTAATGATTGGACAGCTCAGTAATTTCTATTTAAAAATGAACAAACCAACCCACATCAGTCATGTGCTGACTTCTGAGTAAGGGTTGTGAAGCTCTAAAGCAGAACTTCATTTTTCAAGTCTCGGAGGCCAAGGCAGAAACGAGTGGTTACCTTCCCAACACTAGATGGGAAATTGCAAAGTGGTAAGATTGTGTTTTACTGTGCAGGTTAAAACTCAGGAAGACCTGAAAAACAGACAAAGGGAAATAAAGGATGCAGCAAAGATGCTTAAATTGGAGATTAAAGATGAAATTAGTACAGGGCTTAAATCTTTAAGCCCATCCCCAGAACTTTTGGAAAATCTGGAAGCAGCCCTTGAAATAAGGGGAAGTCCACACAGTGAATCAGATAACTTAGAGGAGATGACTGCACCTGTAGCTACTGACAGACGACTGCTCTCGCTGGAAGAAAAGCTGGATTTTTCTAAAGTCTTCTTAATGGTAAAATGCTTTTTAAAAGTAGTTGCTGCTGGTGCTACAGCTGGACATGTCAGTGTTGGTACCCTTTTCAGTGCTGCTCAATTGCTGAATGTGCTTTTGTTTCCCAAAGGATGAGCAGTGGCGTGGAGAGGCTCTCCGAGAAAAACTACGGCATCACGAAGATCGGTTGAAGGTGGCACATCTCCCTTCCCAGTAGTGCCAGTGTGTCCTCTAGATCCCTTCTAAACATAACTTAATACAGCTGTGGCAGAGTCTTCTCCAGCTCCTGAGTATCCACTTTGTGCATAATGACTAGGAGCAGAGTATCTTAGTGCTCCTTCCTGTTGGGTGGCAATAGGAAAAGAAACTGTAGAAACCAGCTGCTCTCTAGAGAACAGTTCCTCATGAACGGGTTTTATAAGAGTATTTCACCGTGAGTCCCGCATTTATATGTTACAGTATTTTAGCAGCATGACAACTCAGCAGTACTTGTGATCCTTATAATTAAAAAAGGCCAAGTTTAGTTGGAGCACAGCTGTTGCTCTTCATTCAACTGATAACGTTAAAGGTTTTAGAATTGCAGCTTGTTTCTGACTTCTTTTATTTCTTCTCACTTACTTCTTACTTCAGAGGAAGTAAGTTATTTAAAGAATTAATTTGCAAAAACAATTTGCAAAATCGTTACCAGATTCTTGAGGTTCACAAGAGCACCTAACAGTAAATCCCCTAAGGCCTGACTTCTAAAGTCATCAGAATTTTTAAAAAATACAGTCTTGAAAATAACACTAGATGGATATAAATAGACCCAATGATTTATTTAGGCTCAACTGCGGCAGTGCATGTCCAAGCAAGTAGAAGTGTTAATCAGAGGAAAGCGGCAGACGGAAGGGACCCTTCACAGCCTGAAGCGGCAAGTGGATGCGCTGGATGACCTGGTCAGCAGCACTGCTTCGGATTCGCTGTTCCTAGCGCAGAGCTCATCAAGTCTCAGTCTTCATGATGCTCTGAATTTAACAAAAACACAGGTAAATACTCTAAGGTGTAAATAGATCCTGTTCTTGAATTAACAATATATTTTATCACACTGGAAGTGTTTCACTCATCTACTCAAATCTTTTTAGAGACAACTGTACCTCCTGCAGCAGGACAGGCCTTAATGGGGGGGAGCTATGCTGTCCTGTGCACGTTTACTCTACCAGACTGTTAGCTAGTTTGTTTCTGAAAATAGTAATATTTTTTGGTAAAGGTTGGTTTTAAACTTCCCTTTGCTCTTTAGCTGAAAGCATTAACCTACTACTCTAACTTCTTATGCCTTTTTCCAGGCTGCTGTGACAGGGCTTCTTCACTCCCGTAGCAGCCGAGCGGCTATTTCAGTGGCATCTCAAACACTCCAGTCTTACGCACAAGAAATTTCTCAGTAGAGCACAGAGGTAAGAGACACACTGAAGTGTCTGTTACTCAGCCTTTATCCTAGTTTGAACTCTGTACTGCTTTGTAAATATGTCTTTAACTGTGAGGCTTATGGATTATACGTGGTGTCAGCCCAGGGACAGGAGCAGATAGAACCACTTTGCCCTTGTCTAAACCTTGTTTCCTTTGTGTCCTGCCTTTTCACGTTATGCTGGTCTTAGATGTGTATTAATTAAATTCTGCCTGACAACTTCCTCTAAATCTTCAAATGACACAGCAATTACTACTCTGAATTTTAATGTTATGCCATTGCTATGCAAGATCTTTTCAGGACCCTTTTGCTTTCCATAAACATGCAGAGTAGCAACCAACTAGGTTACAGCTAGTTAGTGAGAAGAAGCAAGCATAGAATTTTAGGCTAATAGCTCTTATTTATTTTAGCAAGAGCTGCTCTACACTAGAGCTTTCAGGCGCGTCCCTCGTGGTCTCCAGGCCCCTGGCAGGCTGCAGAAGGCATGCAGCGCTTCCGTGCATTCCCAAGTGCTGCTGCTGCTGCAAGATAAAAGCTGGTGTCATGCAGCACCCAGACCAGCTCCTCCTCTCCTGAACATCCCACACGGTGCTGAACATTAATACTGTGCTGAACATTAATACTGTTTCTCTTTTAGACAAGAGGCAGAGCTGCAGCCACATTTCTACCACCTTTGAAGACTTCTACCTCACTTTATTGCCACCAACAGCTGGTAGCTACACCTTCTCTTCAGTACTGTGAAATTTCTAAATGATTAACAAATTTTATGTATATAAGAAAAATGTTGTTTTTATATTTTGTGAGAGGGAGTTCAAAGTATCCTAAATAATAACTATTGTTATTTAGATGTTCCTCTTTTTAGTCAGGGTTTCCTTTGTAAAGAAAATTTTTTAAAATGACCACACTGTCCCTTACCTCTTGCCAGATAATTTTACAATATTTTCTTAAATAAACCTCATTGACTGCAGCTTGCCTCTTTGCTAAGGGTGGTTCTTGAGACTGTTTATGATACTGAAGCTAACACAGTAGCAGAGCTGGTTAGAACAAGCTCTGCTTACACCACTGCCCCTTTGCAGTAAGGGAGGTTTGTCACAGGGATGTTTAGTTTTGTTGACTGTAACAAGTTCTGGAACAAGAAAAGTACAACCTTTGCTGTGGACTATCACAACATTACATCTCACTGAGTAACACATGCAACACTACCTCTCTGCCACTTTGGTCTGTCCTCGAAGGTGGCATTGTGGGGGTCGTGTACCAACCTTCTTCAGACATCTGGCAGGTTATAGGAAAAGGAGGGGAAAAAAAAGCCTCTTCTGAAAGCTGGGAAGCAGTCATCAGTTAAGAATTTACTCTTAACATTAGCACAGGCATTTAGAGCAATTAGCACTCACTACAAGGGCTTCTTGCATACTTCTAAGTACTAGCTTTTCTCTCACCAGCTTAATAGGATCTCTTTTCAAGGCCCACAGGCTTTACTGCAGGCACAGGGAAAAGGGGACATGTAGCTTTTGGGAGGTGGCTGCAAGAGGGGACATGAAAACCAGCCCAGGACTTGGCAAGAGCTGCAGCCGTGCCCACCAAGGAGCTCCGAGGACCTACCCCCTCAGGCACCGCAGAGTAAGTAAACAGGGGCACAGCACTACAAGCAAATGACACAACCCACTGGAGTTTATCTAGATACAGGTACTTTATTTACAAATATTTAGATTAATAGCATTGTTACATCAAATGAGGAGTACAGCAGTCCAAACAAATCCTTTCTGTGACAGAAACAATAAGACCTACTGTAACTTACGTGGGGAATAAAGGTATTGCACCTTAACAAGCTGTAGTCATTAGAACACTTGCTGTACCCAAATTTTGTTTCAGCAGCAGGTCATGGTCCCTGGGCAAACCCTTTGTGGTGCAACCTTTTAAGGAGGATGCATTAGCTATAGATCTTGAACAAACCACTATTCATTTAAAAAAAAAAAAAAGAAAAAAAAAAAAAGAACTGACCAGACAAAACAAAGGGACAGTATACAAGTTACTCAAATCCTATTGTTTGCACATTCCAGTTTTGGCTTTTATATAACATTGACTGTACAATACTCTGGTACCACTGTTTACTTACAAGTCTGAACATTGTAGAGTTTTAGTGTCTAGACAGGGATTTTAAGACTACTTTGTATTTTAAACACTGCAGTAAGACTAGAAGTTGGCCCTTCAATAACTGTTAAGCACTTGCCCCTTGACACTTTTAAAGCACATTTGATGTTTTCCAAGTGAAGCTTCCTGTGAAGCATGGACCTGCCTGAAGAGCACTCGTGTGAATTTCAAACAAAGTAGAAAACTCTCATGTACTTTAACAGAATGCACATGGGCATGGTCAGCACCTGAAGTCTCCTCTTTATACAAGCAGGACTATAGCATGTATCCCCCCATGAAGGGTGTATTCCAAATCTTTAGTGAGAAACCTAAACCAAAACGAAAAGCCTCACACTGTATTGTTAAAAAATACAGAAGTAGTTAAAAATCCCTAGAGAGCACATATGTTGACTGTCCAGTTCAGTATCTGACCATTCAAAAAGTTACAGGTATAAAAGCATAAGATGTGCAAGAAAACCAGCCTTTGTATACAATGCAGGCAGGTAATGAAGCCCAATAATGCAAAATGCTTACAGAAGAGAAGCAGGTTAGCACACTGCTGATTGCACAGAACAGGATTAATAAAATGGCAGAGATACCACAGTGCAAAGATGACAGACATATTCCACTAGTGTTAATTTCTGCATTGGGATTAGAGTTCCCCCAGCACAATGTCCACTGTCAACACCAAGGAGTTAAGCCTATGTTAGTGAACTGCGGTTACGTCTATTGTTGTAGTACTAATGGAGCAATGTGGTCACATATAGGTCCATACTGTACAAACTGATATTTTCTTACATACTGTTCTAATGCCAGTAATCATTTTCTTCATTAAAATCATATACACAGGATGTATTTAACTGTTAGCTCAGTTCCTTCAAATTTTATACATATTTACGTTCTGTTAACAAATGTAAAGGATTAAAAGTGGCAAAAAATGATGTAAAGCTATGAGCACAAGAATTAATGGATTGTTTTCTTGTGCTAGGTTAAGATGGAAGGAAGTTGTACACTCCTGCACCAGCCCACCCCTACCCCAGCACATACACCACAGGGAATGCTTTCAACAAGAGCACATGGTTGCAGAGCCCCTTTCTGCCATCAGAAGTCACTTCACAGCAAAACTTATCCTTTACTACAGACAGCTCTAAACAGTTAGAGGTGGGGAAGAAAGGCTGAGGAACCATAAAATTAAACCATACAAGACAAAGCCCTGCAAAAGTGTAAAATCAAGAGTCCAGCATCAGTGCTCAGTTTAAATTATGTATTGGTGACACTATCACAAGGACAATCAAGGAAAAAAAACTTCTAGATTTACCATGCAGGAGAGATTTTATTACTCTACTTGCCTTTGATAACCTGATTACATCTAAAGTCGTTTAGCAGTTTAGTACTGTGTTAAATTTTCTCAGAGTTTTAATTAAACCCAATAAGATGTACAGAAGACAGGGAAGCAGTCAAAAGCACCGCTCCCAACAGAGCGAGGGGGAAGGTCAGGAATGGAGCCACGGAACAGAGGTCACTAGCAGCCACAGCCTTCTCTCTGGGGCTGGGGTTCGCTGGTTAGCCGCCCCCCCTGCGGGGCGGACGGTTTGTGCTGTACACCCGACTCGGCCGCGTTCAGATCCAGGCTTCCATCTTGGATATTCTGGTATATTTTCTTGGCAGCCTCCAGGAAGGCATCCTCCACGTTCTCTCCACTATGAAGAGAGCAGCAGGAGTTATTCGGGCTGTGCTTTTAGGAGAGCAATGCAGGTTATGGAAGCAGTTGGCTAGATATTGCCAAGACTGGACAGGTCACCAAGTTTAAAGCCATTGCTACCCCATTCCCTTACACACATGAAGGGCTTACAGCTGACCAGAGTCTAATAACTTTTCTTCAGAACAACTTCTCATAGGTCAATTCACTCCCTAGCCATTATATTTATTAGCATTAGCCATTAATACCTCGGCCTGTCGAAACATCCAGTCTCAGAAATAAGCTAAGACACTGAACTACATACACAGAGCCATTTTACAGAGGCTAAAAGTCAGGGGAGTTCTGCAGAAGTTCTGCAACATGTAAAGAACCACCAGCATTAAACAGGCTGCATCTTCCTCCTCCTCTCTCCTCCCATCAGATTTACCTACTTGGTCTTTGGAGCAGCTGATCCAGTCAAATAAACTAGCAAAGAGTTGGGAAGAGCATCTACCGTTTAAGGACTGACGTTTGGAACAGTACATCACAATACAAGTTGTACACTTGTCTCTACATTCTTTTAGCAGGATTCTGGTTTGCTTGCAGCACCCTGATACTAAACCAATAGCCCAAGTTGGGCAAGAATCCCAAGGTTGAAAACAGAGCCCAGGTGTCTGTGGGAAGCTGTGGAGAAGTCAAGGAGATTCCTGGCAATTTCAGCAACAGTTGGTTGAAACAACACAAGTCTAAGGTTATTATTCTTACTGATGGGGTGGCAGATTCCAGCTATGAAGACTTCAGAAAGAGACACTCACAGAAGTCCTACTAGATTTGCAAACAGCTTTTAGTAAAAAACAATTTAAAAAACCCTATTAAAACAGGTGCTGGTTGGAACCACAACTACTAGTGTCACAGAACTAACCCCTTGTGCCCCATTAGCCTCTCCAGCTAACGGAGCCTATTGCAGATAGGGAGCAGCAATTCCTCTTAATGACCCAAGGAATGGGATGTTTCAAGTCATTCTGTAGCAGACACCTCAAGAAACCCGTGAGCTCAGTCTTCCTGGGAAACTGGCTACCCACATCTACATTCTAGACAGAAACAGTTCCAGTCTTTCCCTGAAATACAGCATTATGTCTCTTCCGAGCTGTCTTAAAGTCAAAGCCAACAGGAACTGAAACTGCTCAGCACACTGGATTCTCTTTAACAACTCGAAAGACTTTTCCTTCCCTTCCTTAGTTCTACTATCTCTGAACCGTATGGCAGTATTTAGTCATAAGAAATATATTGCACTCGGATACCATTTAAAACAACCCTCTAAACAAAATCACTTACGTTTTTGCACTTGCTTCAAGGAACAATAAACCTGTTCAGAAACAGAAGCATAGCAGTCAGTTAACACAATACTTGGAATAGGTATGAATCACTCATGTTTTGGTCTTCAGATTACATGCAAAAGACTATTTTAGCACTAAAAAATATTTTATGACTAAGTTAAGGCATCAATATGCAAGCTGATTCCTAGAACTCTGCCCAGTTAGAATTAAGCCAGACCATCTGCAGCACAGTACAAGTTTGTATATGTAATTACATTACTTTGGAAGCACAAGCTTGTAGCTATCAATGCTGAAGGTTCACTTTACATCACTATCCTGCAGGAAATGTAACAGCTCAGAAGAAAAAAGAAAAAACACCACACACCATTTTCTTCAGCAAACTGTTTGGCTTCTTCATATGTAACATCTCTCTGTGCTTCCAGATCTGCTTTATTTCCTATGAGGATTATCACCTAGTTCAGAAGAAAGAAAATTAGTCCAGAAAATAATTTACCAGCATTTCCATTACATCCTTAAGAGGCAAAACTGCAAAAAACATGCATCTTCAGGAGATCATTGCTCTAGCAGGGCTCCCTCTGTAACGTCTGGAATGAAGTCTCCAGATGGCAATAGATTTTATCACTTTGTTCTCATGAGATGAGGTTCTGAAAGTCAGTAGTTCTACTCTAAATTAATCGAAGTTGTGCTCAGAACTGCTTCTTGTGTTTGTTCAACCATCTGCTAATCCAGCTAGAATTATTAGTTTTCTTTCATCACAGCAGTATCTTCCCATGATCTTGGTTCTAAAGTATTTTATGGGCAATTGGAAGACACCAACTACACAAGAGACTAATGTGTTTTCAAGGAGACCCAGAGAATCCTCCTCCATGATGCCTCCACAAGACATGGACAGCTTTTGCTTGATATCTAGTTTATTCCAAGCTAAGAAGAGTTAATATTTCAGCTAATTACCACCACAAGGCAAGAAGAGATGGTAGCAAAGTTAAATTTTGTTCAGAGTTAACCATGATGTTGCCTTCAACTGCTGAAAATAGACCCTGGAAGGCAAGAGAGGCAGCACATCTTCTGACAGAAACCACTGCTTTCCCAACACAGAATTCTACGCTTTTGCTTCAGTTGCAGTAGAGTGGAAAGAGCTCACTGATGTACTGCAAATGGTGGGGACTTAAGGGTATTTCAGAGCCAAGTAGTTTAGAAAAAAGAATGACTTTTTAGAAGAATGTTGCCACCACCACACTGCAGATGCTTTTTCCTAAACCTTCTTCTTGCTTTGGGATTAAAAACTTGCTTTCAAGCCAAAGAAAGTCCAACTTACAGTATTTGGATTGGTGAGATTCCTTGCATCTGTCAGCCAGCTGCTTAAGTGATTATACGTACTTCTTCTGCAAAGAATTAATGAGCAGAGTTTAAGTGCCAACAGCATGGTTAGTAGCAATTAAAAATACTAACATCCACAACCCGTATTCGCCTTCCCAACCTCAATCAAGATGAAACAGTGTTGTCTGGTTTGGACTCAGACCAAGATTTCAGTGAGTCAGCTCTCAATCCCCAGAATACACCTTGCAGCACAAACACACGGTGGAAAGACTGACCATTTGGTACTTCCAGTATGAGGCAGTATTGCTTTCTGCACAAGGACACATTTACATAGTGGTCTATAAAACACATTAAAGGATCTCCTGCCAAACACTCCTCAGGAACACTGTAGAGTGACTGTCACTCTAGTAACAAGCAATCCATAATATTATTTATGCTTTAATCAAGATTTAAGCAAATGGGAGATACACACATATACAGAAAAAACAAGAGGTGCATAAAGACTGTCAAGAGCAGCCCCAGAAGACGACTGGAGGCATCTGACAGCTGAAGTATTTAGTGTTGCACATCTTATTAAAGATGCTGTTAGAAGAGTATTTTTCTCTTATGAAAGAGAAACCAAATAACTTCTAGGCAGTCATCTTTGGCTTTTCATCTGACTTCTGGGCCTCTTCATTGGCTAGCTTTCCAGACCTCTCATATATAGAGATCATTAAAGGATATTTACATAGCCCACTACAACAAAACCATTCTATTTTATGCCTACTAAAAATATTCCTGCTAAGTAAGCAGCAGAATCCATTCCCAGTCTCCATCGTGAGGGGGAGGACAAGTCTGTGTACTGAAGGTACACTTTAAATGTGAACTCAGTTCTTTAAACAGCTTCAGCAGAAGCAGTCAAGGTCTGAAATGGCAAGATTCACAGGTCTGTCAGTAGTGAAGTCTTCCAAGAAGAACAGCTCACTTCAAACCCCTTATGCTTCTTTTTCAGCTTTTTAATTAATTTATTCAAATGAAGCATGGTCAATTTTGCTCAACAGGATGTAAATCCATCCAGACACCAAGTCAGCTAAGCACGAGTCTGGGGGAGAGACTTCAGACAGTTCTGTACAAGGCTGCAGCATCCACACAGCTCGCCGAGAACACGTGCAGCTAAGATACAAGATGCAACAGTCCCTGGCACCTTACCTGGTAATGTCATAGACCATGAGGGCCCCTGCTGCTCCTCTGTAGTAGCTTCGCGTGACAGCCCTGAATCGCTCTTGTCCTGCCGTATCCCAAATCTGTAGCTTAATTTTTTGGCCACTAACTTCAATTATTCTTGTGCCAAATTCAACACCAATTGTGTGGGGACAGTCCGCCATAACTGTCATGAAAGATAAATGTAAGTTTAGATCTTTCTAGTATGAAGTCTCCCTTCTGCAAATATCTTAATATCACCAGCTTTCAGTGATCTTGACTATATTTTCAGCCACTAAGAAAGCACTTTACAGTTACAGTACCCAAAATGCATCACTTAATCCATTCTACTCCTGGTTATTTCCTGAATTGCTGTTAGTTTAAGAACAGTTATAAAATTCCTTGCCTTCTCTGATGCATGTACTACTGATGCTGTTTGGCCATATAATTCAGAAGGTGGCAAGTCAGCTGATTCTCAGTCTATCTTTGCAGAAACGGTTAACTATTTTAATGTAGTAGAAAAAGATAACTTTTAGACAATTGCTAGGACAGTTAAAAAGACCATAACACAACTTCAAAAAAACAAGTATCCATGTTATTACCCAACTGAAACATCCTGACTGTTCAGAAGAAAGAGACAGTTTCACAAGCAGCTGTAAATATAGCTAATTGCAACAAAATGGCACCTTTTTAATCACCATAAACTCAGTCTTAGGAGAGCTCAAGAAAATAAAGAAAGAGGGAATATCTATTCAAGTTGCCTGGAGACAGAACTAGTCACATAGTACAGGTATTTAACACGTTAATTTCCTTCTTTTATCTTTTTTTGCTTAACACTAATAGACTTCTCACGAATTTTAAATACAAGACACAGTCCCTTTGAGAGCTTTGCCAAGTGCAAAGGAGCATTTAAACAATTGTTTGTTACTTAGTTTTTATTAAAAGCAACAGTTAAATATTCATTTTTACTGGAAAATACAAGTATTATAAAACAGGAACACTTGAACCATAGCTTATACCAGGAACACTCGAACCATAGCTTATACCCGCTTACTACTGCATATAGAGCAGCAAAGGATAAAGGCTTCAACTTCGTACTGACAATATATATTGACATACGCATTGAGCGTGAGCAACATGGAAAGACATAGGAGCTCTTAGCAGTCACTGCACACTCCAGTGCGGTGTGCATTAGTACAGAGAGCTGAAGCTAATTCTTAAATCGTGCTGATGGCAAACATGCAAGGAATATTACAGTCAAGGCAGAACACTTAATTAAGCCTTAAAGCCTGTCACACAGGGGTGGTCTAAGCACCATGAGTCGCAGCATGAAAACTTTCAGTGCTACCCAAGTCCACAAGCAAAGGGGAGTCAAAGGGGAACTGGTCCTGGTATGCTTCTTCTTTTATAGTGTTTAAGAATATTAAAGTTTCCCAACTTCTTGTGCCTGTACTACACCAACATTAAAATCATGCAAGTTTTAACCACGACATTTCATTGTTTCACATCACAATTCCAGAAAAAGAGCTGTAACAAGGGGGCAGCCTTCCCACTTATTGCAGGTGGGTCTCTGACTAAAGCGACAATCTTCCCCGCTGCTACAGTAGTAGTTTGGTTTGTCTATCTGCAGGTGTCAAAACACAAATCTAAGCAAGTACAGCACAAATCTACAGAAATGCAAGAAAGACACCACTTCAAGATCATGCATGACAGAAGCAGAAGTCAACAAGAGGGACGAAGCATATCAGCTTATAAACTTTTGTGAACTGAAATACTCACATTTCTTCTCTGTGAATTGATGAAGCAAGCAGGACTTTCCTACACCCATGTCCCCTGTTATAGAAAGAATAGTTATGACAGAACTGCTGCTGCTGCTGCAAGCACAACATCCCATTAACAATCCTACACAAACCCTGTAAAGACAGGCAATCATCCCCAGACCAGGCCTATTAGGTGATGCCCTCTACCTTAGGGTATTCTGCTCACCAATTTTTGCAGTATAGCTCTCTATTGTTCAGTAATCAAAGCTGAAAACAAGGGGTGAAGGGGAAAGCACACCAAAGATGATCTAAACTGATCTTTACAAGTATTCTTCGACAAGGCAGTGAAAAGCTGGCCTACTAGAAACTGAAGAGTAACCTTAATGCATTTTTCTGGCCATTTCCAGAAGAATTATGAAAGTTAAACACACACGTAAGGGCTTGCCTTGCTCCTGTGTTACTTGCAGTTGTGGATGAGGATTTCAGGATACTGACAAACAAACCAGAACAGATCAAGCAATTGCTTCACTTCTATCGAGTCACTTCAACAGCACTAACAGTGAGAAATAGCAGGATCTTCCAAGTACCAGTTTTTGCACAAGCTGAGGCCCTCATAGCAACCTAACTTACACACCCTCAGAATAAGGTTACAGAGCTCCAACACCTACACGAGATCATTAGGAATTAAATTATTCACAAGATTAGTTCTTCTGGGATAGCATTAAACCCAGTCAAAGCCCTGACTCTCCGCCAGAGAAAGAAACTGCAGATGAAGCAACTTTTACACACAAAACTATAGTCTGACAGAGGTTTAAAAGCCATCTAAAGCAACTGATTCCAGTTAATACTTGCATGAACATGGATTAAGACCTTTGAGGTTAAAGATGCAATGGCAGTAATACTGCCACAGCAAATCTGAATAATTACAACAGAAACATCCAAATTACCATCCTTGTAATAATTCCCATACACATGCACTTCCTACGGCTTCTGCCATTTTCCTGAACATAACCTTACATTTAGGAAAAAAGGGACTGCATTCGCCAGCTTTTAGCATGCAGGTTTTTCTAGTGCTATTCAAAGGAGTACATGTTATGGCCCTAACAGCAAAGGCTGTCAAGAATACTACAGTATATTAAGAAAAAAGAGAAAAAAAATAATAGCTATGTATCAAGGTGAAACTTGCAAAGATATTTGCCCCACTTCTAGCCCACAGGCCACCAATGATCTACAGAACTGAGGTGGCACACAGCTTATTGCCTCTGCACTGCCAGCTGCTAAAGCTTCTAGACCAAGTGTACTGATCTGTGAGGAACTGAAGCTGGGCAAGTCATTGTACTGAAAAGAAAACATGGCTATATAACAAGTAACAAGAAACAGGAAGTCAACAAGAGCTGAATTGCAGGGTCTGCAGTTAGGCTGTCTTGGATACCGATTCATGTCAGTGTTTGTATGTGTGCTGCTGAGGCAAACATTTTCCAGTTCATACTTACCAATAATGATGTACTTAAAGATGTAGGAGTAGTTGTAAGGTGCAGTTGCCATTGTGGCACTAAAATAAAGAGAAAAAACATTATCAGAACTGCTACTTATTCATTCAACCATCCAATTCCCATGATTGAATTCATACAATGAAGAAAAAAAAAAAAAAAGAAGTGAGGGGCAGGAGGAGCCATTTCTCCCCTTTGCCCTCCCCAAGCAATCCCTTCCTTCACAGTTGTACTTCCCTTCAGTCACTGAATTTGTGACCAGGGACATTCATGAAATATCCATATCATTTACTCTGAACCTTTGGCAATTAATGTTCTGTAAGTAGAAACAGGCACTCATTCACTGATACTCATTCACCTTTATCAGGAAAAGCTTCAACCTATCAAAAAGCTCCAGTACCTTCTTGCCTTGTACACAGTCAAAGAGCACAGTTCTTGCCTTGTACACAGTCAAAGAGCAGACTAGTATACCAGCTGAATTGCTGGCATGTATGTGAACTAGAAATAAGATTTTCTTTTTGGAGGCAGATTTTAAAAGGACCAACTAAACCAGCAACTTGCAAGTTTCAAATGAAGCACATGGTAATAGCTACAAAAGAAAAAGAGATGGTGCAGTTTGCATCAAACTGCTGAAAATTACTTATTCAGACAGTACAGGAAAGCAAATTTAGCCATACATGGAACAGTCCAGACTTCTGTTCACCTACATAAAAAATCTGGCATAAATCCCATGTGCAAGAAGGTAGTCAATATTTTGTGGCTTTGTCAGTATAGCAGCATTACAGCAAGGCTTAGCCATTTTTCCATTTTTTTCCTTCTGAATACACCCCACTGAACCACTAAGATTTATTCACTAATCTATGCCTTATAGTAGATTCCTGCAATATTGCCAGAATTACACTGGCATAAATACTTCCAGAATTTCCATATGTTTTCCAATACACAGGAAGAACTGGAATTGATTTCAGCTGTTTAAACCTGAAAGGAGTAATACACGACATACCAACTGATACACAAGTCAGCCAGGACTACAAGGCTACACTGCACCAATACTGCAATTTGACAAAAAGGATGCTGAGTGCCTGCTTATGCTCCAGGTTAACTGCATACTATATGATCAGTTAAGCAAATGGAGGATTTGCATGACAAATTCTCCATATCTTTTCCTGCTCAGCAGGTAGCCAGCCACTAGAAAAACACTGTACTTCTGTGAAGGACATGGCTTCACCCTGGAAATACAAATTCCTTCAGTCACGTGCTAGCCGCATGACAAATGAAACTACCATCGCAGAGAAATAAAAATGGGGAAAGCTTATGAACCTGAAACTTTTTCAAAAGTAAAGCAGCATTTCTTCAACCCAGATTAATCCATAGCAGTCAACTCCAGACATAAGCAAGTGACTGACAAAAAGCTCATTCACGGTACACTGTCAGCAGTTCACAGAACTGTTTTAAAGCAAACACCTTTATCTAGACCTTGAAGAGAAGAGCACAGCTTAAACAGGCATATAAGGAGGGTTTACTGTGTGCCAGTCAGTGATCTGCACCTTGGCTTTCCTTCCTGCTTTAAGACATTTTAACTATCAAATCCTCCTAGTCCAAGAAGAAAGATATCTACACTAAGTCTTATACACACACACTCTATTAAACCAAGTTTTAACCAAATTAGTAAGCCAAAGATGATTTGTCTTTGAATAATGCAAGGGGTTAATTCAAAGAATTCCTGTATGTGTTGGCAAAATAGAAAACATGACTAAATGTTGCACTGGTACCAACAACAGCCCTTCTATCAAGATGATCTCAGAGGGAACCCTCTAGGGCAGCAGAGAGAAGCCCAAGGCCAGTCATTCCACCCAACTTTAGTCACCCTCAGTCCCTAATGAATAATAAGTATCCCAGTAAATGGACATGAATGACAACCCCTGCTGCTAAGAACAGACAGGTGAATCAGAACAGCTCCATGATGCAGGAGTAAGAACAAACAAGACAAATTAAACACTGAAGACATGGTGAGAACTCAGTCTTTGAACACTTATAATCTCAGCAACGCTGCAGATGAAAGCAGGAAGCTTAGGCCAGAATACTGTTTAACAGCATTCATTAATCACAGAATATTAATTAACCCTTGCATTATGTAGCTAATAGATGTTGATAGCATCAGCCATCTGGAGAGAAGGAAGCTCTACCATGAGCTCACAACCTTCTGTTACAGACACTCAGAAGCTTAGTGCCCAACACAGATTTGGGGGAAAGGCTGCATGACTGAGAAGGCTGCACACAAGCACACACACAACTCACCTTCGGCCAGCACTGACATTATACAGTGTGACAACTAAGTTAACCAGCCATGAATTAGTAACAGGAAGTAAAAGTAGTTTGGTCAGGAAGCTTGGTGTACACAGCCATCTTCCTTATGGCAAATTCTGCCTACTTAGAACAGGTTCAGCTCTCCTTTCAGAGGAAACGCTTCCCTGGATATCACAGTATTATTTCAAGATGGCAGCTAGACAGAGAGAATCATTCTTCACTATACATAGACCTCGACAGTTTCAAAACCCGCGCAATTATTTTCTGTACTGCAATTATGACTGGAAATGTTATTGTGAACAGTGCCACCACAATCTATTCTCCACACACCAACTTCTCCCTTAAAGGCTTTAATTTCATTAAAAAAAAAAAAAAAAAAACACAATGAAACACTAGTGACATCTTCTGTATTTCCTCCTGTAATCAACAGGTACTGCATCTGTATTTTGATTATTAATGAAGACTATTTCAAATATCAGCAGTTACTCATGCAACAGAGAGGGACATACTAGGTGGTAAATCAAGACAACATAATTGCAAACATCACTTTCATACTAGCTTCGATGAGACCTCTGAAGTGCGTTCCAGCTGAACTAAAGGACATAGTTTTAATTCTTTGCTGAGATCATATTGCACATAGAATTTTCATACTTGTTTCTTGCTCAACATAAAGCTACTCTGCTAGAAGAGACTAGAACCTGTATGCACAGGTTTTACTATATGCTACATGTGCTACATACCATTAGCTGGCCAACCCACGCAGAGATGATACGAATGTGACAGATGATAAAAACGGCCATGAGCTTCAAACCTCAGGGTAGCCCAAGCATTTTGGGTTCCCCTTAAAGGGGAAACTCCTCGCTCATCAGCCAGAAAAAACGCTGATTACAGTGGGACCTGTGTCAAGTGCACAAAACTGAATGCAATATTCTAAAGGTACTACTTAGACTGCTGGAAATATGGCCTATAAATTCCATCAGGTAAGGCCTTCTGTAAAGCCACACCACACTGAAAGGTAATAACCATTTTGTTATCAACTAACAATACACAATTCCCATAAGTCTATTGTTCATACCAGTCTAGTACTATCAGATTTCATCCTAGATCTATTGCTTCCACATGCCAAGGGCATTTAAGGTTTTTTTTATATATTACGCCAGCCTTCTTAGAGTACCCCGTTTTTTGAGGGTAGAGGGAATAGGTCTTGAAGAGTCCTCTTCTAAGACCAGTCCTTGAGGAATCTCATTAGACGCTTGTTAGCAGTTTGAAGATCATGCTGCCTCTTCCCATTACCTCCATGTCTGGTTATTTTCTCAGAAAAAGCACAAAGCCTTCATACTATTGGGCACAGACTAGCAAACATGCACCTGTAGATACCCTTACTTCAACCTAGCGCTGCTGAAGGGCATTTGCCATATTCTTTAAACCTGTTGAACACTCCAACTCAAACTGCAGTCCACGAGGTATTTTCAGAAATTTCGCAGCCTCTTGTATGAGCATGCTGACTTTTTTTCTTCCTTTTTCTTAAGAAAAAGGAGAAAGTTACCTATCATACCATCTTTACCTTTTGTTTCCTCAGCAGTTACCCACTGTGATTGTTATCCTTTCAATGGCTTCGCATGTTGCTCTATCAAACTCCATTTTGTTTCTGAAACTTCTTGTATTTATACACTGCATCCCTTATTTCTAACTATGCACGCTTAGTCCCACATCTAAATTAAATATGACATACCTGTGCTCAACAAGAGCACTCTGGTGTCCATTCTCCAAGCCATAGGAGTTCTTTAGCCATTTGCATATCCTCATTTACCCATGTTCCTCTTCCTATAAAAGGAAGCCTAGCTCAACCTGCATCATGTGTCTGAGGTTGTAGAGGAACTAAGTTTCAGGTATCAGATGGGCTTAGATACAGTATATATGGCAGATGGAAAGGGTCTGTTGCAAGGCTAATAAATCAATACAGACATACATGAACTGGAGTCAATAGCTTGGGAAAATACACTTAAATAAGTAAGGTCTATTTCCTATGCTCCATGAAAGAAACAATGAATAGAATCTATATGACTGCTTCATCTTGCTATTAGACACACAGGAATAAGCAGGTAATTTTAAAGTTCTGTTTGCATTTTTAATCCTAGTGCTTCCAGTATAACAGGTTTGTTTTCAGGCTGCTGTCCTTCACAATAATCTTTTCTTCTTGTAACTCTCGAAATGGAAAGAGAAAAGAGGAGCTGCTTACTACAACATATATACAGGACAGGTTAAAATCCTACAGGAAGTGAGCACTTCTTATTTTAATGCCATGTTCAACTCTATGATCTTTAGCTATGAAGTCTTCTAGCGGGAGACTTTACTGCTCATCAGACTAATGCCCAACAGGGTCCCATCCAAACTGAGCTAGAAACAGATGCCAGAAGAAATACATCCCATATGAAAACACCTAGATACTGGAAGAGTTAGATTTCTGACACATGGGTTCAAATTATTCAAGTAGTCTTTGTCCTAAAAACAAACAAACAAAAAACACTTGTTTATAAAAAAAGCACTTGTATACATCTGTAGAAATATATATATATATATATGTATATAAAAAAGTAAACACTTTTCGCCTTCAGAGAGTTACCACACCCTTTGGAGACCTAGAAAGGGCAATCCACACAAAATAAAAGCAACAGACCTGGAGGCAGAAAAACCCCCACACAGACACTTCTTCCCACATTTCCTACAAGGATGAGGCTAGTATACTCTCAAATCAATATAAAATTAC